AGGCACAGCTGGCACACAAATTGAACCCTTGGCCACACCTGTAACTTGTTTGTCAACCAGGACCTGAGAGTCCAGGAAGACCCCCAGTCCAGAGTTGGGCAGTTTAACCCATTCAAAACCAAGGGTGGAAAGTCCTCAGAACCAGACAGACCAAGCACCCACAGCCACTCAGTCTTGCTAGGATTGAGCCTGAGCCCGTTCCTCCTCATCCAGACCCCAACAACCTCCAGGCCAGTGTTGTCCAAACTTGGCCGCTTTAAGATGAGTGGACTTCAACTCCCAGAACTCCCCCGCCAGCCTGGCTGGGGAGTTTTGGGAGTTGAAGTCCACTCATCTTAAAGCGGCCAAGTTTGGACAACACTGGCCTGGAGGTTGTTGGGGTCTGGATGAGGAGGAACGGGCTCAGGCTCAATCCTAGCAAGACTGAGTGGCTGTGGGTGCTTGGTCTGTCTGGTTCTGAGGACTTTCCACCCTTGGTTTTGAATGGGTTAAACTGCCCAACTCTGGACTGGGGGTCTTCCTGGACTCTCAGGTCCTGGTTGACAAACAAGTTACAGGTGTGGCCAAGGGTTCAATTTGTGTGCCAGCTGTGCCTGTTTCTGGATTGAGAGGCCCCCCTCATGGTCACTCACGCCTTGGTCACTTTGTGGGTGGACTGTTGTAATATGTTCTACACAGGGTTATTCTTGAAGATCACTTGGAAGCTATAGCTGGTCCAGAATACAGCAAACGTGATGGGCAAGTCTCATGTGCCCATATAATATCCCTGCTACGTGAGCGGCACGAGTTGCTAGTTGGCTTCCAAGTGTAATTCAATGTGCTGTTACCTCCTATTAAGCCATACATGGCATAGGATCTAACTATCTGAGGGATCTCCTGTCTCCCATAGTATCTGCTGATCCTGTTTACTCCAACAGGATCAGCTTGCTTTAGATCCCATCAATTCTGCAATGTCAACTAGCAGCATCCAGGAAGTGGATCTTCTTCGTCCTGCATCTGCCCTTTGGAAGAGTATTCCCCCCAGAGATCCATATACCTTGCTTGCCTTCAACTGATCTTTAAAAACCTGTTTTTTCCGCAGGCCTTGAATTAGGATGTTTCAGGCTGGCCCCTTTTAATTGGGTAGGTGTATGATGTGGAGATATGTTGTTCCCTCAGACAATTACTGCTTTTTATATCACATTGCTTCTTTTAACTTTGTGAGGCTGCGTAGTTGTTTTAGAGTTGGGTGGCCTAGAAATTTAACGAACAAACAAATAAGCTAGTCTCAGTTTTGTTCTGTGTCTGCTTCCATTGTCTTCCTTGAAACTTTGCTGCCACAGAGTTCTACCGAACCGAGATAAGTTGTTGTCTGTTAAGAGGACACTGACAAGCCCTGACCTGGGAGAATTCTGGCTACAAAATTAACCAGGTCCGGATAGGAAAATTAGACCACTCATTGAACAAATCTTAGAGAGCATTTTGGAATCTGTTATGATGCATTTCTTAGTTTATACAATCATACTAAAGCAGTTTATAAACTATAACGAGATGGCTCATAAAGTAAGTTAATTAAAACTAAACGGACTACATCATGGCTTATTGCAGGAACAGGCAACCTTTCTGCAGCCATAAGTCATGCTTTGCATTTAGGAAAAAAACAGCCTTTGGGTATTACAGCAGGATGCTACCAGTACAATGAACTGCTGAAATTGGAAAGGTTGATAGTAGATTGAGACATAGGAATATCAGAAAGCTAGAAAAACAAATGTCACTCTCTAGTTAAGGAAATGTTAGAATATTTTTATATCTATTAATAAAGGCTAGTGTATTACTGGGGCTGCTTTACTAAAAATATTGTTTCCGTAGAACACAAGTTTACCATAAAAGGTCCTAAATTTCTTCTAGTAAATCCTTCACTTTTAAAGATTTAAATTAAGCCACAATTTATAGCAAATCTAATATATTTCAGAGTTCATATCCAAAGAAGTTGGAAAAAATTTAATCAGATCCATCTATGAAGGATTTAGTAAAGCCATTTCATAGCATCCCTTTCTATGGTTCAACATTTTACTATGTCAACAGCTGTGCTCTAATTTCTTTTTCTCAGCAATCAGGCTGAATAAACACATTCTGATGTTGACATGCCAGATGGAATACAAAATAAATTGTTAATGTATATTTGCTTTGAATGTTTGATAGTTTGACATCACGTTATGCATTGTCCCTGTTTACCTGGGAGCTTGTCCAGTTCCCCAAAGTCTTATCAGTTCCTTAATATGTTAAGAAGGTGATTACGTTTTTGAGTTCCAGTCTTTCCTTAGGTAAAATAGCTGAACTGTGTCCACACAAGGTCTGTATATATTTCAAAACATCAGTGTTATCACTAGACTTGGATCAGGGGGTTTACTGCAACAATAAATACGTCACACAGAATGTTCTGGCAGAAGAAGTCAGAAGTATATGGGCCTTGTACTTTCCTTAAAGCAATGGTTCCAACGTATTCTTTTATGAAGACCACTATGTTATCTATCTAAAGATTTTGAGAGCACCATAAACCAAGAACTGACAGCATAGTACTTGAAGTCTCTATGGCATTCTTCTGATGGCTATGACTATGGGATTCGAAAGTTAAATTCAAATTGATTTTATAGTTTATGTTTATTGTTAAAAATGGCTGAAATGTGAGTGTTCTTGCCTAAAATGTTGTAAGATATGGAGTAATTATCCATCCATCCATCCATCCAACTATCAAACTTATATAGCAGCCCATCTCATGCATGTGACTCTGGGTGGTGTACACAATTAAAACACAAAGCTAAACAATCAACATAATTCAAATACAACCATTGAAAGCCAGTTAAAACTAGTTAAAAAACCATAAAAACAAAAAGGGGAGAGCGCGTTCTAAATTTACACAGATTGCAGCCATTTAATAGGCTCCACACTTCCATAGATCCCTAGGCCCAATGGCAAAATAATACTTAAATCTCACAAGATTATAGGAGAGCATGCCATCATTTTGTGAAATTTGATGTTCTGCTGAGAT